TGCTGTGAACGTGAAGTCAGCTCCTCCAAAGCAATTGAGGAATTAGAAAAACACAAGATAATTATAGAAAACCAATATCTCAAACAACTACTACATGAAGTACAAGAAAAAAACAATATCCTGATGGTAAATATTAGTTTATTGTTAAACAAAATAAAGTATCTTGAAGCGAAATTGGCTGGGACAAAAAAAGAAACCCAACGTTACCAACAAAAAACTGTAAAAACTGTAAACATGAACAAAAACACAAGTTCGCCTTCCCAAATGTTGAAAAGCAAAGATACAATAGAAGATACAATGGAACTTGTACGTGACAAACAAATTGTAAATAATGAGAATATTAACAAACAACCTGCATCCCACCCAAGCGGAGAAAAAAATAAAAAATATGAAGAGGAAAGTGCTGAAACAATCATCGAAAATGAAAAAAACGATGGCTTCCAATACCAAAAACTAAGGAAAGGAAAGAGAAGATTTGGAACGACTGAAGTTTCAGGAGAGGAATTGGAAAATGGATTTGCGGGAGCAGATCGCAAGGTTTGGCTATATATCTACAGGGTCAAGACGCATGTTACAGCAGATATGATAATGAGCTTCATCAAGGAAAATGATACATTTAAAAACGAGAATGTTGGAGTTCAAGAATTACCCTCAGACCCTGGCAGGCGTAAAAGGTTTGTTGTCACAGTACCACTAGATCACAGAGACGAAATATACAATCCCAATTTTTGGCCTAGTAAGGTAGGAATAAAAAGATTTGATTTTCAAAAACATAGGGACTTCCTGAAGTCCACAAAATTGAATTTTTGATGGAAAATGTGCACATTTACAAAATAGGAATTTCAACATCAATACCTTCTCATCGTGTATGGAGCTCTGCTCCATAACCCTGAAGTTGCTGGGTACCATCCAGAAAAGAGACATCCACCTGATTGGAGACGCGAATATCACGTGCAACCTTGATAGTCTGGAACATCGAAGAAAGGTTAGAGACTTGTCTTTCTCCTATAATGCTCAAGTGACTTGGCACATTTGACACCACCAAGAGCGGACTATGACTGCTCATCGTTTTGAGGTTCAACTCAGTACTCTGCGAACTTAATTGTGTAAGAACTCTTCTAAGTGGAGAACTGTGTTTATGTGGACAAACTCACTGAGAAACTTTTCGCAAATGGATTTCATTTCCAGCGATTGAAACCCAATGTGAATCGTATCTTTCGCACAGGCACCGGTCTGAGAGTGCTTTAAGGACTTTCCTGTTGTGCTTGTGTTTTCTAACACCCCTCCACAAAAACACCACCAATGACTTCTAATTGAAAGAATCAGATTTATTTTCACAAATAGGTGTATAAAAACCCCAAATGGATTGAGTGCGGTGAGTGACGACCTGCAATTAATCGACTCCGTTTCATTGTTCCAGGTTGCGAGTGTCTCGTATTTTCTACGCTGTATGGCAAGGAAAAGAAACCGTTCAAGAGTCCTGACTTTCCTAAGCCGTATTCTCCGAATATTGACTGCCTGCTCTACACCTTCATTCACGATTAAAAATTTATATTTCATTACCCAACATTGTAGCCTGTCACATGAAAATCTGAAATCATCGGTATTATATGAAGTATCTGCAGGTATGAGCATTGATATGATATAATAAGTCTTCATGGAGGGGTCGAAATTATTTTTGAGAGAACAAGGTCATGTGGTCATTGGACCACAACTTCAGTCAATATTAAACATCCGTCGTTCTTTGCAAATAAGGCTCTTTACTTTGACTCTATTGCATTAAATCTGGTTGATAATCTGTTCAGCAATTTATATCTCGAGAAGGAGGAGACTCTGAAGACATGTGCACCCCAGGAGACTCCTGGCATGCACAAGTCTCATCAACAACGATCATCTATGAGAGTATGGCTATACCGGGTGTCCCACATTTTATGTGACAGGCAATATATGGTTTGTTGAAGGAGATACACAAAAATGTTTCAAACAAAAGTTTTAGGAGTTCATGAGAGCTATATTTTGATATAATTTTTAAATAAACAGGGTGTTTGGTGTAGGTGCTACAGACCAAAATTCCATTTTTTTAAATAGAACGCCCTGTATATCATTACATATTCAGATGCTACGTTAAATTCTGATATCATTTCATGTTTGGTTTTTGAAATTCGGTTACGGCGTTGTTGAGTTATTGCNGAATAATGGTTTGTATTCAGTAGTAGTCTAGTTCAATTTAATAAAAGATATAGACTGGATTCGTGTACGAGTAAATAAGTTTTTTTGAAACTTTATATTTAAGGAAAAGTGCAATAACTCAACAACGCCGTAACCGAATTTCAAAAACCAAACATGAAATGATATCAGAATTTAACGTAGCATCTGAATATGTAATGATATACAGGGCGTTCTATTTTAAAAAATGGAATTTTGGTCTGTAGCACCTACACCAAACACCCTGTATATTTAAAAATTATATCAAAATATAGCTCTCATGAACTCCTAAAACTTTTGTATGAAACATTTTTGTGTATCTCCTTCAACAAACCAGATATTGCCTGTAACATAAAATGTGGGATACCCGGTATACCACTAACAAACAATGAAAATATTCACTAATATCAATGAATATGTCTAAAATTCTTGAATTATTAGAATTTGAATAAGATCATCAACTGCATTGTGGTGATAATGGAAAATACATTTCTCTGGAATTTATTGGGATCCGAAACTGGCTTCTACGATAAGCAAGAGATATTTTTCACACGAATTCCTTCCTGAACTAAAAAGATCACCATAACATTGAGAGCAGTTACATACAGTACCAGACAAATAACATAAATATTCCAACTTGAATTCCGAATATTCAAAAATGATGACTTCCACGAAGAGTTTCGACAATTTTTCTTGAAAATCACCAGGTGATACAATATGATAGGACTTGAGGTTTTTCGATAAAAAAGGTAACACATTTCATCAAACTTGATGATAATTTTGGGAAAATTCGAAACTATAAAATCGAATCAAATCCCCGATTTGCTCAAAATTTCAAGTTTTTTACGATACCATGAAGGTCCGAGAAAAATAAAAAGTCGGTATGTTTTAAAAAATGTAATAGTTGGTGATTATAGTGAAACAATATTATTTGTCACTATTTATCAATTGAGTTTATTCTATTCGGTTTGATGAATTATTCATTTCAATTTCTGAGGAAATCAAACATGAAAGTTCATTCATGTTGGATGCTAGTACTTTCCGCTAAGTTTTCCAGTATGATTCAACAGTTGAGTGAGAGTTGGCAAACATTCTTGCATTTAGGTTTTCAGAAATCACGTGTTGAATATTGACAATTTTTCCATCACTTCTGGTCATCACCTCATATTCAAAATGCATAGAAAGGGCTTCCCCAACAAAGACATCGTAAATTGTATAAATTTATTGATATGGACAATAATTTGTCTTTGTGAAATCGTTCTTTGTGTGTCGATTTCAAGACTATCCATACTTTCAACTAGCCTCTCTCAACTGGCAGCCATACGTGGAATTGTAGGAGACAGAAAATACCATTTTATAGCTACGATTGTTAACTTTGAATCACTTGGCCTTGATCCATTTCTCGTAGGTATTTATTCAGTTCTATTTTCGATATTTCCCTATTCCTCTCATTATTGAAAATGATTATTTTCGGCTTTCTCCTTCTGGCAATGTTATTGCTATTTTCCTGAGTTTGATCGCAAAGAATGGAACATTTCCAAATGGACGCAGGTAAATAGGACTCCATAACATTTTCAGTTCCTTCTATTACCAGTAACAATTGGTATAATTACAGTTTTGAAAAACATTTTGAATCCACACTAATATTACATTTTTCGCTCAGAAAAATAACAAAAGACAATTTAATGCAACAATAATCAGTGTTTAATAATTCAAGTTATTAGTACCAATTACATAAAAACTCAAAATGATGTGATGGCGTATTCACATTCTACAAATTATACTGTTGAATCATAAAAAATTCAAGGGAAGATTAGTTTTTAGAAAAGATTATTTTGGCTTTCTACTGCTTTGTATTGATATACAGGGTGTCTGGAAACTTCCTACCCTTAACATCTTCCGTTCAGTAAATAATATGAGGAATCAAAAAAACAGGTGAATTTTATTGTCAAAGCAGACATTTCCGAAGATTTCTAGCCGTCGTGGATCAATCCACCATGAGGGTTAAATGTTACCCATAGAATTTAAAATGGAAAGAGGGATCAAGTGGCACATGATTTTGATTGGTGTTTGATTCTGTTTTCAATGGTACCCTAAAGATGGAAAGCATTCTCGATGATCTCACAAACCGCCTCTTCAAGTTATACTTGAAATAGACGTTTTCACAAAATTGAATTTCTGATGGAAAATGTGCAGTTCGGACACACATTTACAAAATAGGAATTTGAACATCAATACCTTCTCATCGTGTATGGAGCTCTGCTCCAAAACCCTGAAGTTGCTGGGTACCATCCAGAAAAGAGCCATCCGCCTGATTGGAGACGCGAATATCACGTGCAACCTTGATAGTCTGGAACATCAAAGAAAAGTTAGAGATTTGTCTTTCTCCTATAGTGATCAAGTGACTTGGTACATTTGATACCACCAAGAGCGGACTATGACTGCTCATCGTTTTGAGGTTCAACTCAGTACTCTTCGAACTTCACTGTGTAAGAACTCTTCCAACTGGAGAACTGCGTTTATGTGGACGAACTCACTGAGAAAGTTTTTGCAAATGGATTTCATTTCCGGCGATTGAAACCCAAGGTGAATCGCTACTTTCGCACAGGGACCGCTTGAAGAGTGCCTTTCCTGTAGTGCTTGTGTTTTCTAACACCTTCTCACAAAAAAACCACCTACGACTGCTAATTAAAAGAATCAGATTTATTTTCACAAATAGGTGTATAAAAACCCCAAATGGATGGAGTGCGGTGAGTGACGACCTGCAATTAATCGACTTCGTTTCTTTGTTCCAGGTTGCGAGTGTCTCGTATTTTCTACGCTGTATGGCAAGGAAAAGGGAACGTTCAAGAGTCCTGACTTTCCTAAGCCGTATTCTCCGAATATTGACTGCCTGCTCTACACCTTCATCGGGAACTCTGATGAGATTATCGAGCTCACTCTCACGGACTTTGATGTACAGAAGACTAAATTCGGGTAAGTACTTTGTTCCCTGTTACTATCTATTGCTCCCGATGTAAAAAGTTCGTAGTACATCCGCTTGTTTTCTCCATTTTCGGTATTGAGGAAGGAAAAGTTCTGCTAATATAGGACAAAGAAATCCTGGGGTGAAATTCAATATTTTCCATCTAGGAAACAATTTTATTCAATTTTGTAGTGAACTTTTGGATGTTGCGAAATGTAAAATATCTGGAAAATTGAAATTTTGTTTCCATGCAATCACTTCGAATAAATGTCATTACGAGAAACTTAATGAAACACGGTCAAAAATGACAGTCATTACCTAAGTTGTGTATGACTAGTTTTTCCAGTTCAGAGTTTCAAACTATAACTCATTATAGTTATATGACTATTTGTGAACCTGGATCAAGTCAAATGAAAATAAACATTAGGGAAATTTTACTTTATGGGATACTCACGGATTTTCGCGATTTTTTCGGGGATGATACTACATGATGGTAGAAATTCAGAACACTTTTTATTTTCAGTCGGACTCAATCAGTTTTCAAAATAAAGCTTGTTGAAATTTGTATGATGTCATAACCTAACTCAATCTAACCTGTCCCTACCTATCCTAACCTAACCTCACTATATAATTCAAAAAAACTATCTATCCTCAACATCTAACCTAACCTCCAAATTCTAACAGAAACTTATTTTCAAATATTTAATTTTGTAAAACCCATCTTTACTCAACATCTACCTATCCTAACCTAACCGAATCCTAAAAGGAACGTATTTTCTAAAATTCAAATAAAAAAAAAATATCTTCCCTCAACATTTAACCTCTCCTCCGAATTCGAAAACGAACGTATTTTCGAAAATTCTAGTTGAAAAAAATATATTGTATCAACATTTAACCTGACCTCCGAATTTGAAAATGAACGTATTTTCGAATATTCAACTTTATAAAAACTATTTTTTTTAAACATCCAACCTGAATTAGAAAACCTCATGTATTTTAGAAAAAGGATTGAAAAAGATGCGATGATATGGAAAACAGCTAACCAAAAAAAAGATAACCGCTTGACAGATAAACGTGCGCCACTAGGCACCAACAGTTGAACAAATGCGCACATCAATATTCATCAAGAAAAAATAAATGAAAATTTCTATGTTTTTTATCACTTTTATTTGTAACTAACGTTACTGCAATTTCGTCCTATATGGAGGTTCTCAAACTTATACAATAAACAAAAAATAAGTTTGAGAATGTCTATATATAACGAAACTGCAGTAACGTTAGTTACAAATAAAAGTGGTAAAAAACATAGAAATTTTCATTTATTTTCTCATTATGTTCTCCTACCATGTAGTAACGGCTACATCCATCAATTTATCAATATTTATCAATATTCTATTATTCCATGTCATTTATTATTCTTATTTTAGGTATAAATGTCATATCAAGTGTAAGTTTAAAAATTCAAAAACGAGTTTTTAAGTGATTCTAATCCCAATCGTGAATATTCATGCAATTTACAAAAAAGTGATTTGTGTTGTATACCTGAGTACCTGACAAATTATGGAATTACAATCTAATTTCAAGAAACTTGGCAATAAATGAATGAAAAGAGATAGAAAAAGTTGCGATGATATGGAGAAAGATCTATTGAATGAAAAATATGTGAATAGCAATCGTTTATTGCTTGAAAAAAAAAATGTAGGATATGACATCATACAAACTTTGACAGATACTTTTCGATACGAACTTTTCGAAAACTAATTGTTTCCGACTAAAAATAAAAAGTGTTCTGAATTTCTATCATCATGTAATATCATCCAAGAAGTAATCGCGAAAATCCTTGAGTATCCCATAAAGTATAATTTGGCCTAAACATTATCACACGACACTGTTTGAAGACTGAAACTACTTGCCACCGATCAAGAAAACTACAGTCGGCTTTTACAGGAAGCCAAAGAAATCCATAAACATACGGAGAACTATAAAAGAAGAGAGGAGGCGGTAACGCTCAAACGGATTTGGAATACTCAAAGATGCTAAAATGGCAACAGAAAACGGAATGCAAAGTTACGGCTCTTACAAACCTCAGGTCACTCATTAATAAGTCAAGTACCAATACCGTAACAGTTACGGCGGGAATAGATACGTCATTAATAGGTAATAACACTCCAGCCAATAATAGCACATCAACAAGAGACGCGGACTACCTGAGTCAACATAAGTACAACCTACGAACTAGAAACCACCAATCATCGGCGAATCATCAAGATGAATAAACCTTTGAAGAAGCCAGCCACTCATGCTGGCGAAACGTTAAGATGCAGTTCCAAACTACGTCTGCCTTCAAACCCGAATGAAAATAGTAACACTGATAAACATTATCATTGCTATTATTTTTTTCCTGAGGTTGCGTTGGTCGGGCCCTGTCCTTGAAGTCCTGACGAATTCGAAAGGGCGCGCCAGCATCATCAAACAATGATTCCATCTCATGCCATAGGGTGAGTGATCATTTGGTCCGAGAATCATGTGTTTTGAGCAGATGCAATGAGCCACAAATGACAGCTGTCTGCATTCTCCCGGTCAAGATTTCTGTCCTAGTGCGAAAATCCGGCATGATATTGAGATAGGAAAGTAGAAAGAGCATCACTCCACCAAAGACTCTAATAGTCAGAACAGCTGTTCCAGTTAAGTAGTCGAGATAGAGTCCGTGGAGTTTGAAGAGAAATTATCTATATTTCATCCGCTTTTCCTTCTCTTTTCGGAGGAAATACGTTTCTCTCGGAGCTGAAAACACCACAAATATTGTCTTTCTCTGATAGTCGAGAACCGCATCAGGATTATTTGCTTGCTATCTGATATTTGCCATGAAGACTAGTTACAATGAATTCGGCTTTCCTCATTCTCCACAACGAATTCAATTTCCTCGTTGCGTAGAGCAACTTCGGTGTCTCGTTGATACCGCAAAAGTACCGTTAGTGATGATGAAGAACTTTCAGAATCTCTTTATGCGAATGAATTCAGAACAAAAAACGCATATGCTAGGTATGCCACCATCGACTGCATAAAGCTACCAGGTGCATCACGATAGGTTCATCACGTGATTTCAGGAACCATGATAGTGGTGGTCCTGACAGACCTCAATTTCCGACATCAGTCCACCCGACCTGTTGTTTCAGAAGACCTCATGCATTCGCTTATCCTTGTGTTGCGCAGGTGTGAAGTGATCTCTGTTTCTTATATGTGGGCCTTGCTGAACGGATTCTACAACCATTCGGGCAGCTGCTTCAAAGAACTCCCTGCTCTTACATTGTCGTAGATCATACAGAGAAGAGGATCCGAACTTCTGATGACTTCATAGGCTCTATTTATCATAAAGATATTCAAAACTTCACTGCGTCCCTATTGTCGGGGAGAGGTCAACCGTGAAACAGACGATTTGGGATGCAAACTTCAGCGAATATATGTAATTCGTGTTCATAGCACCAGCTTTGTTTTTTTTCATATCTTTCCGATGACCAGACTTGTTGGGATTTGTGCTGATACTTGCCGTAGAGTGAGTTTTTCACTGCCGTTACTTTCAGTGAGTGACATTGTTCCAGTCTGAGAAAAGTATACGTCTCTACGGCATCCATTAATCATTTGCTTTTTTTTTCAACGAATAATGGCAGTGGTTATATATAGAAAAAAGAAGAACATAGGAATCGCCCTGAAACACACCTTCACTGAAAGTGACGTGCTCATTTTGAATTTGAGCCTGACCAGACGTCATAGTGTAGCGAGTCTTTTAGAAGGGTGTCTGATGTTCAAAGTTTATTACTGTTTTATACGGCAGATCATCTGAGCAAATGCAAGATTGTTTCATGCGATGTTGTATCAAATGCCTCACAGTAATCAATCCAGGCCATAGCGAGGTAACCCTATAGTGTATTGAGACCTGCGTTACGTATCTGTCGATGGGTAAGTTCTCCTCACAGCCAGGAAATCTTCTCTTTGACTCTCTTGGATGAAGGTAGGATCCAAAAAATTGAAAATGTCTGCAAAACATTGATATTTGTAGATAGGTAGAAGTGATAAGTAGAAAAGAGTGTCACCTTAATGTCGTGCATAACCTAAATATACGATTCTAGGGGAAGCTTTCACCCCATTCCTTCAACATCATCCATTTCAAACGATCTTTCAGTTACGATATCGTGAAATTCATTAGCGCTATACCATCAGATATTGAAATGTCAGTAAATCAAGAAGAGTACTTCGGCCACGCCACTGAAGATGACTGCCGCAGATGCAGTTGAAACGTTTGGAGACCATAACCAAAGAAAACCACTGCATAACCAGATAGCCAATTGAAGCATTGAGTTCATGAACGGAATTATTTGAACTTCGCCCATTATTTGATCCAATTTATAACATATATATATTTTTTTTCAGCAAAAAAACCTTTATTTATATATATAGATATTGTTATGAAAAGACTCGAAATACAACAGTGTGTGGGAATTTTAAAAAACATCACGAAGGAATTCAGACACAAAAATAAAGCAAGGACACCCTGTACATATATTGAAACCCACAGCTTTGACCGGAAACAAGCAAATAAGAGTGGGAAATTCAAATATTAACATTCTTACATCAAAACGCATCAAAATACGAAAAACTGATAACTGATATAGGTTAGAAAGAAATGTCAGATAAAATTAAATTAACATATGTGATGAAAAAACGAAAAAGGCATGATAAACTAATTGTTATTATTTAGGAATTCAAAATTCAAAATTTATTATTGTGAATAACTTCCTTAGAAACTGACATGAAGTGATGCTTTTGAAAAATATTTATATTTACATAAAAGGGAGGTTAACTATTGTTGTACGAAACTATAAAAAGAAAATGTATCTGAATTTAAGAGCCAATGTTAAATTAGTAGAATAGAAAATTTTCCTGAAAAAGAATTTGAAAATTTGTATATGTGAAAATTGATAGATGGTAACTAGGGGAACGAGATAGATTTTCA